TTTGTTTCGAGAGATCTATTTTCTGCTTCCATTCGAGGTCTGGCCCTCGAGTCAAATGCTTTTATCAGTTCTGATCTCGTTAATCTCTGTCGCGAAATATTCATTTATCTATGTGACAGAAATCCGGCTCCCCGACAGGTTAGTTTCGGATCTAATCACTTCATAAGTATTAAGTGGACACACTCTAATCTTTGAACCAGTGACTTGAAACGCTAACTGAAGGATGTCTTCATTGGACTGTTACAGATTTTACTCTCCCTTCCTTGTATTAGCCCCAGCGATTTACATGCCCTTGAAGAAGCATTGACAAAAACGGCTAGTCCAAAAGAACAAAAACAGCATATGAAGAGCTTTCTTTTATTAGCTACCGGGAACAACTTAAAAGCTCTTGCTGCTCAGAAAAGTGTAAACATTATAACAAATGTCACAGGTATTCACTCAATTTTCATCATATTGCATTCTCTTTCCCTCTAATCCGAGTAAAGGTTGTTCCAAGTATTATTTCATGTTTAACCTTTATATCATTAACTCGGATTAGGAGGGAACCTCCGAGTAAGTTCTGTGACATGTCCTGACTCCTGACTAATTATATCATGTTCCACCTTTCAGCAAGGCCACGCAGTTCACTCAATGCTCAGGAAAATAGAATCGATGAGGGGGAAACTGTTGGATTGGCAGCTATTTTGTGAAGGGTTTTCAGATTTGAGTATTGTACAGAAAATTTAATCCAGAAAAAAAAAGATGAACATCTTCTACAGACACAGTAAAACATCGAGGTATACCGAAGCTTTTTTTTTTTCCTTTTCTTTTTTGTGGGTATTTAGTAGAGGTTATGCGATCAATTCATCCGGAGGTGGTTATATGATTCTGCAACCGTATATGTTCTAATATTTCTTTCATATCTTTGGCTGATTGTATGTTCAAACTTGTTATAATATTTTTTGGTGGTGGCAATCTGATATTCCTGTGTTCAAACTTATGTCAGCTTGAACTCGGCATAAGTTCGGGTATGGATATGAGTACATATATTTATGAAATCGAGACATCATTCAAAGAAATGCTAAGAACACATGACTCCATGTGTTCGAAGAGCTTTCCATATATATATATATATTCGTGTGTGTGGGTGCACACATACAGCTATTTCAGTTACTATCTGATGCATAATTTATAAAATAGTCTAAACTTCCCGTCCGTGGGTTGGGAAGCTTTAAGTAATATGGGGTTGACAATGGAGGGTGGTATAATAATGTATAATTTAAATCGCTTGCCTGCCCTAGAAGTTTCGTGTACACTTGTTGAAGTTGGAATCTTATTCTTTGGTGCTTAAAAATGTATCAAATGCAATGAATTTAGTTTAATACCAATGCTTTTCTAATAAGCATATCATATATATATATATATAATATATAATTAGGATACACAAAAAAATGATCCTCACAGGTAAAAATTCACGCGCGCATATATATATATATATATATATATTAGGATCCATTTACATTGTGTATAATTCTTTTAGTTTGACACCTTTTTAAGATCAAGTATTTGAGAAAAATTAAAAGTTGAAATTAACAATAGAAAATGAGAAGATATTCACTGAATAAAAATAAAGAGTTAATCTCAACTTTTAAATTTCATCTAACAATCATAAAAAGGTATAAGACTAAAAGTTTTATACTAAGTAACCATATATATATATTCTTTGTAAAGTGGTTCAACTTAAGGGGAAGTTCTGTCGTACGACAACTTTAATATATGACTAAAGAAAGACATTATCAAAAATATTTTTTTCATATTTTCGGTAAAAAATTACCTAAAATATTATTTTTTTACCTAAAATATTAATGTTTTTTAATATTTTCGGTAGAAAAATAATATTTTAGGTAGCACTTTACGGAATATGTTAACAAACCCGGTAAAACGTCCAATAATAACATTTTCGATAGAAATAATAATATTTTAAGTAATTTTTTACCGAAAATGTTAAAAAAAATAAAAGCATTTACTGTTGTGCCTTTCCTTAGCAGAGGACATGTAACAGTGAATCATGAATGATGAAAAGCATCCTACAAAATCAGTTAAAAGTAGAAGATGGGGTTGGAGAGAATCAATTTTCTGTGGCTTTTAGCAGAGAGGAATAATCCCAAAATAAAAAAAAAATAATTATATATAAGAGAGAGAATATTGACTTGAGAATATGACTCAATGGCTTTAGCTTGAGTTAAGAGTCCTACATTCCAATTCCTTTGCCTTGTTTTCAACAATGGGAATACCATTCCGTGGTCATTTCCCACTTTTCTATTTCATCCCAATGCTCCTGACTGACCAATAAGAATCTTACACGTGTGTGTGTCTTATGATTGAAATCAGTTCCCCTTTAATCTCATATTCTCAGCTATTTATGCTCTTTCCCAAGCTTCTTCTGTAGTCTTCGAAAAAAAAAGTAAAATTATATTAACACTGAGAATCAATGAACTGGAAAATTGTTTCAAGTACAAGGAGGAAAGAACAAATATCAATGCTCCCCTCTGCTTCAAGTGCATGAACTTGTTGGAGCTGGAGATGTGGACAAAATGACAACTTTCATTTTGTAAAACATCAGAGAATTTTAACTACATTTTACGTACTGAAATGTTGGAACCAAGATGATTGGCTCCTACAACTGGTTTATCTACATGCACTTTTTCGTACATCAAATGCACAAGTACTTGTTCTGTCCCAACAAAAATACTCGTCTTTCAACTTAATACTTACTGATAAACGGAAACGAAATAATATTCAAAATTTGAACAAGAACAATAGGAATTCTCATTCTTCAAATCTGGTTCAATCTAAAGACACGGTTTAGATTTGTTTGTTAACGTCTTACATCTTTTAATTACTCTCAAAAGATAATGGTTAGCAGATAATGCTTATTCTGCAGTTATATTCCTATCCACATGCCAGCAAAGGATTCTTCTTCTAATACTTTTGAGACCAAGTATTTATAGATTCTCTCAAACTGCATAAATATATTCTGACATATCAGAATCAATTGATTTCCTAAAATGTCCGGTTGAAACTAAAGCGAGACATTATTGGAATTTTATATTACTCGAATTCGAATATAAATCTTGAATAATTTTTAAATTTCTTCTCATATATTTGAAGAGTTATGAGAAGATATATATATCCCTAGGCATGTAGTTGAATAGGTATAGAATACGAGAGTTAAAAAAACAAAATGAAGAGTGGAAAGAATATATGTAACTTGCAGTTGCTTTGAAACAAACCCAAAAATTTATTTATTTTTGTCTACTATAAATTTTTCAAGCACTCGTTTTAATGGGGTATCCTTATATATATATATATATATATATATATATATATATATATATATATATCGTTATTCTTCAAGTAGTTTTATTTAATTTTCTCAATTTGGCTGGTTTATACGATTAGCCAGATTAGGTCTATATAACTAAATATTACGAATTTATTCTTCATTAGCTGTTGATCATGCAAATATTATAACTAAACAAATCTCAAGAGTGAATACTTTCAAGGCTATCAAATGATCCAATCTTTATCTCTGATCAAATTCAAACTTAAGTATTCAAAATGGAACTCCATCCTATTATGAAATAAGACTTTTTTGTTAAGCATCTACGTGCCAGTTCATGCAGGAAGAAGAAGAAGAAGAAGAAGAAGAAGAAGAAGAAGAAAAGGGAATAATTTGCATGCGTTCATTGATTTGTGTGTGTGTGTGTATATATATATATATATATATTCAGCTGACATTACCATATATAAATAACATGGAATAATGATATAACAGATTAAGATAAGATCATACGAAATTCATGAAAATGGAGAAAGAAGAGCGTATAGATTCAGATTAAGAGAATCAAGAAAAACCAGACAAAAGCATTATGGTCAATGGCAAGTTGTCGTTTTCAGGGCCAGGGGTTGTCATGCCATGTTTTTTCAACAAAAGCAAATACAGAAATACTTCCTTTTCATCGGGTCCCCGACATGCTTAGGATTCGCCATTTGAGTGGCGGCTGTCTTAACACTTATGCCCATTAAAGAAAGCTAAATGATCTGGACCCTATCCCCATCTTCTAAACTATACTTGTGTTACTCGAACTCGAATTTGAGTGTCTGAAATGAATACAACCGGTTTTTTTTATCTATTTTCGTGTGTCCGAGGACGATATATGAGTTTATTTTGATTTTGTCTCTTGTGTTCTATTATTAATTATACTGTTTCTCTTAAGCTGATATTCGGTTCTGTTCCGGACTCATATCTATATTAATTGGACTCAGAGTTGAGTGTAGTATAATTAATGCTAGGTCTTTTTTTCATAGATTTGGAGAACCGTATTCTCGTACTCGTGTCTATGTATGTTTTGAAGAAAAATAGAAGTTGAACAAAGTACCAAACTTGGTGTAGCAGACAAATCATGGGACGTATTCCATATTCCATTCCTTTGCCACCAAACTATCTCCAAGGGAAAGCATCTTTCTTCCCCATTTTAATTTTTTCTTCTTGCATGTATCTAATTCCAAAGTTTCAAGGTGCTTCAGTCAAAAGAATCTTCTTCTTCTTCTTACATTCTGCAAATATAAACCAGTTAAAATCTTTATTTCATGTACATGTCTCCATTTAAAACTCCCTTTGAGATAGAACATTGAACTAAAACTCGGTTATAATCTAATTACTTAATTGTAAAACTGGGAGGAACCATTATGATGTATGTATGTAGAGCATAGAATTAAATTACAGTTGTGGACCTTATGACGTGATTTGTTTATTAAAAATAACTGTATTTTTATATTGCGGTTACAATATCGCAGTAACCTTAAAAAAAGTTATGATGCGGTAGTTACGCCGCACGGAAGAGTGAGCTTTTGAAAATCTCAAGCAAAACATAGTTAGAGAATTCCCCTAATGCAAGTCACCCCCCTGGAGAATAAGATTCTTTGGGCTTTTGCCAGTGGGGTAGGGGGAAAATGGTGGATCAATTCCCAGTACCTAATTCAAGTTCTTCAGGTATTTTAGAAAGTTGGTTTTGTTTTGCAGGAATTCAAAATGGCTTCCATAGTTTAACAATATCTTCTCTCTCTTTTTTCTTTCAAGTCACCGTTAATAATGGATTAGGTCATGGTGTTGCCATCTAGCAATGTCCCAGATTCTATTCTTCTAAAAACTGCTTTATAAAAGCCATGGTTGGGGTCACCTTTGTCTTGTTAAGAACTGGCCATTAGGGGACGTGTCCTTTTCTTTTGCTTCATAGTTGAGTTTCGAGTTCCGTTTCGGAGATCGAAAATGTACCACCACCATCAACAACAACAACAAGGCAAGAACACGCAGGCTTCCTTGAGAATGGAGATTCCAGAGAGGCATTTGTTACTGCAAGGTGGGAGTTGCAACGTAGATTCGGGTCTTGTCCTCTCGACCGATGCGAAGCCGAGACTTAAGTGGACGCCTGACCTCCATGAGCGTTTCATCGAAGCTGTCAATCAGCTCGGAGGAAGAGACAGTAAGTAAATTCATGCTATGTTGATTGAAATAGAAGTGTCTGATACATAAACTGCATCAGACTGGTACAAATGACTGTTGTTTTTGCTGCAGAGGCTACTCCTAAAACAGTATTGAAATTAATGGGGATTCCAGGCCTTACTTTATACCATCTCAAGAGCCACCTTCAGGTAATTTATATCTACATTATCATGAAATTTGTGTTCATAAAATCTAGAGTCCATTCTATGAAAATATCTAGATGGATAAACCTTGTTTTTCACAACAAAATGTTGGTGAAATTTAAGCCAACTTGTTTAGCTTGCACCAAGTTCGTGGGACTGAAACCGGTCTTCACCGATCCCTTGTCGTCTTTCCCAGCTTGCAGTCCGAACTGATTCCCAACTCGCCGCACATTAGAGTCTGGTAGCTTTAACGTTTAACAATTGCCAAGTAAATTCTCACATTTTGGTTGCAGAAGTACAGACTCAGTAAAAATCCCCAGGGGCAAGTTAATAGTGGCAGTAACAGAATAGGTGAGAAAACAGTGTTCCTCTTTCGGTACGATTAATTCGATTTATCTATGATTTCTATATATTTGAAGGGTCCTTATAGGATCATATTCCTATACTCATGTCCGGATTTGCATCAAATCCGAGTTCCAAACAAGGGATCCTGTTGAGGGCTTTCATTTTGAAGACTAATATTTTTTAACTCGATGGATATAGGTGCGGTGGCAATGGTGGCAGCAGACAAAATGTCTGAAGAAAATGGGATTCAAATGAATAACTTGAATGTTGGACCTCAAACAAACAAGTAAGAACATTAATGGAGTTCCATAGTTTTGCATTTCAGTCATCCGTGTAGTTCTTTATATACTGATTTCGATGTCCATAAAATGACCAGAGGCTTACAGATAGGCGAAGCGCTGCAAATGCAGATCGAAGTCCAGAGACGACTGCATGAACAGCTCGAGGTGCAGCGACATTTACAGCTTCGGATCGAGGCTCAAGGGAAGTACTTACAATCAGTGTTGGAGAAAGCTCAAGAGAATCTCGGGATACTAAATCCGGGTACGATCGGTCTCGAAGTCGAAGCAGCCAAAGTAGAATTATCCGAACTGGTGTCCAAAGTGTCTAACCAATGCCTGAATCCAGAGCTTTTGGATTTGAAAGATTTTCAGGGCTTATGCCACACGAAAACACCGACGAATCCGACGGCGGATTGTTTGATCGATAGTTGTTTGACCTCCATCGAAGGACCTCGGAAAGAACACGAAAAACACAACAACGGGATGTGTTTAAGACCATACAATCTCATAACAGAAGATCCCAGGCTGCGGCAAACCGAGCTGAAGCCGTTCGAAGAAATAAAGGAGAACAAGATGGTTCAATCTTCAACACGCAAAATTGAAGGAAAAAACATGTTTTTTGCAGATAGAAGCTCCAGTGGCAGTGATTTGTCGATTATGGTAGGATTACGAGAGAAAAGTAACGGCTTCAACAACAGAAACGGAGAAGATGGACTCCATTACTTTGCAACAAAGCTTGATTTAAATGTTGAGGAAGAAAATGACGTAGCTTCCAGGTGTAAAGAGTTCGATCTGAATGGTCTCAGTTGGAGTGAAAAGTTTTGTTGAGCTTTTCATGATCATAGAAGAATGAAGAAGGCGAAGTTGAAGATATTTATAATAGAATTTGGATTAAACATCGGTGAAGGAATGCTGCTGTTTGTGATTCAGGTTCATACCAAAATATATTTCATCTTGTACTTGAATAACTTGCAACAACTACATAATCATTATACATATTTCCAGCAACGCCATGCACTTTTGTTTTTATGGTTTTCTATACCAACATCAAGTCATCAAACGTTTACGACAGTTTTTTTTTAATAGGAACATTATGCATTTACATAATTTTTAACTATTATATTATGCTTACTTAAATGATTGGGTTTTTTTTTTAATATAAATGATTGGATTTTTAATAACAACATTATGGTTATGGATAGGGATGGGCATTAGGGATGGCAAAAAAAATCGAATCCGTCGGGGAAACCTGAAAATCGAATTAAATGGATCGGGTTCGGGGATGATAAACAGGGACTGAGAAAAACTGAATTTTTTAAATGGGGACGGGGACAGGTTTGGTAATCCCCGCCCCGATTACCAGAATACCCAGCCCGATAAATATTAAAAATAATTATTTTTTATATATATAATATTAATAAATTTAATTTAAATTAAAAATATATATAAAGGAGATTAGGATTTAGGAGAACACATCTTGACCTACTCGTCACTTTCCCTGCGGCTGTTCTCAAGTCTTGCTTCGCCGATCTTCACCTTCCCTGCTCCGCTGATCTTCCTTTCCCTTGCCACTTCGCCGGCCGATCTTCCCCTTCCGAGTTTCGACCTTCCCTTGTCACTTCCCATCCGATTGTATTTGAGGTTAGTCTTGCATCTTTATGTTTACTAGCATGTGATGGTAGTAGCTTATGTAAACCAATTTTAATGGCCTGTAATCAATTTTACGATTGCAATCTTGTTCTTTTACTCATGGTAGTAGCTTCTGTAATCCATTTTAATGGTCTTGCATCTTTATGTTTACTAGCATCTTTATGTTTACTAGCATCTTCTTCTTGTGTATATAAAATTGTTGGGCAACAGTATGGATTTTGAGAAAATCTGAAATACAACACCTTATAGCTGTGGTACAACTCTCCTATGCATTCAGTTCAATGTGTACACATGAAGTACAACATCTTATGCTTGCAGTACAACACTCATCTGCGTGCAAGTCCATGCAACCTGCACTTTTATATGTACTGCTATCTATCCGTTTTTTTTAATTCCTCAATATTGTTTTTGTTTGTCAGTTAATTTGGTAGTAGGTAATTTTAGTTGCTTTTATATTTCTACTTCTGGATGGGATGTACTTGAATGATAAATGTAAGAGAAAATAACCTCAGTGACCAAAAATGCCTTATAATATACGATTTTAACCAACATTTTTTGGATTTGCCAAAATAACCAACTAAATCGCAATGCGATCGATAATTCGCAACGTGATCTCCGGTATCGCAAATCAGTTTCCAGATTTGCAACGCGAACTTCGACTATGCATTGCGATTTACATATTCACATTGCGATAGTCCAAGTTCGCGTTGCGATTTTCCAAATTCGTTGCGATAGTCCAAGTTCGCGTTACGATTTATTCCAAATTTGTTGCGATAGTCCAAGTTCGCGTTGCGATTTATTCCAAATTCGTTGCGATAATCGAAGTTCGCGTTGCGATTTATTCCAAATTCGTTGCGATAGTCGAAGTTCGCAACGACTGGTGGTATTGCATTTGTTTCTTAAGAATTTTCTCTAAAGAGATAGTATTCGCGCGGACGTGTCGAAGACACATATTACCACGACCACGACCACGACCACGACCCGACCCCAGACGAGACGAGACGGACGACGGTGGCGGCAGCGCACAAGAGTCCCCCTTGTTCTCTATCACTCAACAAGGAAGTGGGAAAGCCAAGCCTTAAATACCATTCCCAATAGTGTTTCCAATACTATGTGGGATTGAGCATTACCAACACTTGTTCCCAATACTATGTGGGATTGAGCCTTAAATAGTGATATTATTTGTGAATTATAGTTAATGACTTTAATATTTGTATGAAAAGTATTTGTGGTTCGTTTAGTTTTCATGCAATTCTAATTTATTTTCAATTGATTGTAATTGCACGATAACAATTTTTTTTATTCTCGCGAGTGATGCAATTTTTTTTGAATGTTTTGCTTAAAATTGCAATAATCGCGATTGATTGTAGATTGACTTTTAATTATGACATATTTAATCGTATAATACTAATGCAATTGGTTGCTGATTCAGTTGTTTTAAGGTGCATGATTGTTAATTGTTTCCTGAATAATCACATAGTATTGGAAACAAGTGTTGGTAATGCTCAATCCCACATAGTATTGGAAACACTATTGGGAATGGTATTTAAGGCTTGGCTTTCCCACTTCCTTGTTAAGTGATAGAGAACAAGGGGAACTCTCGCGCGCCGCCGACGACCTTCTCGGGTCGGGTCGTAGTCGTGGTAATACGTGTCTTCGACACGTCCACGCGAATACTATCTTTTTAGAGAAAATTCTTAAGAAACAAATGCAATACCACCAGTCGTTGCGATTTTGGACTATCGCAACGAATTTGGAATAAATCGCAACGCGAACTTGGAATAAATCGCAACGCGAACTTCGACAATCGCAACGCGAACTTGGACTATCGCAACGAATTTGAAATAAATCGCAACGCGAACTTCGACTATCGCAACGAACTTGGACTATCGCAACGCGAACTTGGACTATCGCAACGAATTTGGAATAAATCGCAACGTGAACTTCGACTATCGCAACGAACTTGGACTATCGCAACGCGAACTTGGACTATCGCAACGAATTTGGAATAAATTGCAACGCGAACTTGGACTATCGCAAAGAATTTGGAAAATCGCATTGCGATAGTCGAAGTTCGCGTTGCGATAGTCGATGTTCGCGTTGCGAATATGGAAACTGATTTGCGATACCGGAGATCGCGTTGCGAATTATCGATCGCATTGTGATTTAATTGGTCATTTTGGTAAATCCAAAAAAAGTTGGTTAAAATCGTATATTATAAGGCATTTTTGGTCACTGATGTTATTTTCTCTAAATGTAAAATTAGTGTTTCAAGTTTGATAAATGGTCTTCAATCTTGTTTGCAAACTGATGCATTTTAAGAAAAATAGTTAATAATTAAATGGTCTTCAAACTTGTTTCAAGTTTGATAAATGTGAGATTAGTGTTTGAAAATGTGACTTGGTTAATATCTGGAATTATGGATCTGCTATTATTATTACTATCAAGTATCAAGTTATTATTCTTAGAATCGAGGTGATTTTACAGCAAGTGCAAGTCCATTCTTAAGTCCATTTTTGTATGATAGTTGAGAACATTAATTATCTAATTATTACTACTTCAAACCATATAAATAACCGTTTAAATAACTGTTTATGCTAAATAGAGATACTCGTTTCCCCGCGATTTTCCCCGATTACCTAATGGGATCCCCGTTTAAATCTCCGCGATTTTTTAAGCAGGGACAGGTACAAGTTTTTTAAACAGGGACGGGGGATCAATCCTCAGCCCGAAACCGCCCCGTTGCCATCCTTAATGGGCATGGGTCGGGTTTGGGTCGGATTTCGTCTAACCCGACCCGAAAATTTTACATCCTTCATCCCTCCGACCCAACCCGACCCGAAAAATATATACCCTCCACCCGACCCGAACCCGACCCGACTTTTTGAGATAAAATTAGAACCCAACTAAACCCGAAATAATAATAAAATATTATTTTTATTCAATAAAAACAGTGATTTAATTGAAAAAATAATATAGAGAGGGGTATTATTGTAATTATAGCTAAATATATAAGGTAAAATTATTCTTTTGGGTTGGGTTGGGTCGGATATTTTCACCATAAACCCAAATCCGACCCGACCCAAACATCACCTTTAAAAAACCCGACTCGACCCGAACATGAATTAAAAAAATCGACCTAAATCGGAACCCTTCGAGTTCGGGTACCATACCCATCCCTAGTTATGGATTTACATAGTTTCTTATAAAGTAAAGAGGAAAGGGTTATTACTTGGGATTAAATCGAGAATTTAATGTTAACTGGAATCAATACATTGTATGCTTATAAATTATAATTATATGTGAATATCATTATAATATAAGTTTTTTGAAACTATTGAGGGATATTATTTGTGGATCGAGTCTTAACTTTGATTAATATCATTATTATTATAACGTATGAAATGATGTCAATATTAAAATATTTTTTAAATAATGTTGATATTAAATAGTTAAATATGATTTGATCATATTAAAAAAATTAATATTGATAATTTGTGTATTAAGTAATTTTAATTTCATTAAAATACAATGTGATAAAACGGTTTCTTTTAATTAATATTCCATGTGTTAATTAACTTATTAATAATCGATCTAAATACTTTTAAATAAAATTAAAACTTGTTATAATATCTAGTGTTCGAACATGTGATCTCTAAAAACAATAACAATTCATTTAACAACTCGAGATAAGTTGATTCGTACAAACTATTAAATCTTAATTGTATAGTATTAAAAATGTTGAAATGGTATAAAAAAGAAGAACAAAAAACTTTTGATGTGAACTTTTCATCCATCCATTCGACGTCGTATTGAATTATGAATTGGGGTCCTAACCTAAACAAAACCCCAAAAAGAGTGAAACGATATCAAACCTCACTAGCGTCGCGCGAAATTCACTACAAAAAATCAAGTAATTAGCCTTATCTTGGTGTTCGATTTTTTGATTTGCATGATAAATTCTCTTTAAATCGCATTAGAAACACTCCGATTCAAGAAATGGGAGCAAGTTGCCAGTAGCGGATTCAGAAATATTTTTCAGGGTGAACACACGCATATATATTAATCACTTAAAAGTTTAATAAAGAGTGGCCACAACTAAAATTTCAGGTTGGACAAAACTATTAAAATATGTAATTATCTGAAGAAAATTTGAATTTTAAGGTGTGCTCGTGCACACTCTAGATCCATAATGGATCCGCCACTAGATAGAACTGACCATATATTAAAATTAACACACATGAACTAATAACTTAAAAAATAAGGTTTAATCAGGAAACTTATAATTACAAGAGAATGTAAGACTTTTATTAATACACAATACAATTGTAATATAACACACTTATCATATTATATTTTTTATTCTCTTCCTATCA